ATGGCACTCACACACACACAGCTAGCAATAATCATGCAGACACACACGATTTGCCAACAATATTTAGATTCCCTTCTTGCAAAATATTAGGGGGGGGGGGGGGGGGGGGGGTGGTGTACTCATCTGTGCAGGCTACTCTATATATCCTCAAACAAGTGGACAAGTAGAAGTTACTGAAATAAACCGAATTTTTATTTTCAAAGATTTTTCATTTAAATTTAAATAAACTGAAACAGCGTGGAAAATGTATCTAATTATTTAAATGCAAAATTCACATAATTTGTACAGTGATAAACCGAATCGAAAAACCAATTGAAAAGTACAAAATCCATCAAGTAAAATAGATATGGGGCTGACTCGAACCGCCCACAGACACACACACCACCCAAATCACATCTAGAACCCTATTCCCCCCTATTTCCAGCGCATACTTCACCCTCCCCTAACACCATTATAAACCTGTACGCAGCACCACCAAAGCCTTCTCCTCCACTTTCTTCTTCTTCTTCTTTCTTCCTCTTTTATTTTCTTTTCTTTCTTGCCTTCCTTTCTTCACTGCGCTTGCCATTTCTGGTGAGAACAAGCAGCAAGAAGAGCCGCGCCACCCCAACACCACCACGCCATGCGCGCCAACGGTGCTCCTCGCCAGTCAATGGCCCGCCGCAGCAGCTCCGCCAGCAGTCCCACCTTACCGCTCATGGCCAGATCGTGCAGCGCCACGCTCTCCCTCTAGCTCACTCGCGCCACTGCTCGCAGTTCCGGTGAAGCGCAGCAACCTGGTTTGGTCCGCATCAATGCCATTGCTCTCCACTTGCCTCTATAGTTCCGGCACAACGTAAAGCTCCCTTTTCCTCGCACAATTCCGGGCGCCAACGATTTTCTGGCGTACATAAATTTAATTTTTTAGACTATTTTTTGAGAAATGTTTTTCTTAGTTTTGTGGAATTATCTCTATACTACTAGGCATTGATTTAATTCTAGTATATATTCCATTGTGTGGATTCCTCACACATATACAGCGCACTATAGATAATGATATATAATAGGAATTAAAGATGTAGATTAAGGTAGTTTAGGTATAATGTTTATGTATACTTAATAATTTTTGGTTGTGTGGGATGTTTGAGATTGACAGCGGAGGATGGGGACAAAATTTTTAATTTGATTAATTGCTTGAAAGGATGGGCCGTATGGATTGAGTTTGACTATTTGTTTTTAAATATTGATATTTTAACAGGTGGACGTAGTCTAATTTTTGGGGAAGATGCCTCCGAAATTTTCGGTAAGAAAATAAAATTAAGTATAGAAATTAAATTCTTATAGAATTAAATTATTTATAGAAATTAAAAATATAGAATAAGAGTATTAGATGATAAAAATAAATAAAGAAACCAAATATATAATCTATAATAGGTATATAGTTTTTAAATTACTAAGTGAATTAAATGACTGGTAACCAAAATAGTAAACCGAAATATGAAAATAGAAATGCTTCAAATTTAAAAATTCTTACTTAGAAATTTTATTGTTTATTTAGAGGTTTATAATTCCGAAATGCCGAGGACAAAGGCTAGAAACCACGTGCTAGAAAAGGCAGTCCCCTTGAAGAAGACACTAAGATTTGTGAGTAGTGTTAGATAATTTGCCTCATACCGGCCCTGCATTCATGCTATTCATGGTTAAATGTTATCATGCATTATCGCCATATTGGTGATGCATCTATTTGTGATCCTTAAATATGCTTGATTAATTTGTGGCTGTGATATTGTGTGTTGTTTGTGTGGAAATTATGGATGAAGTGGGTCACCGAATGGGTTTGTGAGACTGTTACTGTATATGGATCTTGATACTGATTACTGATTAGCCGGGTAAATGGGGATCGGCGCCCCCCGTGTGCACCTACCTGTTACCATTACTGTTAACCACAAGGTTGGCTTCTTTTATTTCGAGCGCACCGATAATGCTAGGTTTGATCGCAAGCCCGCAGGGTGGCCTTCCTGTTGGAGCGGGCTGATGATCTAGATTTTGCACAGAACGACCGGGTTGCCTCCTGTTGGTATTTAAAAAAAAAAAAAAAAAAACACAGAGAGGAATGGGAAAAACAATGAGAGGGCTGGTCAAGTGAGGATTAGATCGGTCGGGGCCCATGAATAGGGGATCGGACTTCCCTGTGCCACACGTGAGAGGAATGGCCATGTTTGGGAAGGACGGCTTCATCGGAGGGTTTCGGTACTCCACTGACTATTTCCACGTGATGTGATTAATAGCAAGGTGATAATACTGTGGATTGCTGTTGTTTGCCATTGGTGTGACAACACTGCATGATCATATAATTAAACGGTAACCAATAAAAAATAGTTTTTTTCGCCATCTGTGTGATTGTGTGGGGTGAGAGGCGTCATCCTAACCTACTCATTAGGTTTGGCGCTCATTCTCACTGCCTACTTATTTTTTTTCCCAAGGTAATAGAAAGAAAGAAAAATCCTATGGAGTTGGACAATAATTTTATAGAAGATTGTTTAATGATAGAAATGACTGAGTGTAAAGGGTGTCCAGGTACGAGTTCCCGCAATTGTATTCCAGTTGGTTGTAAATGAATAATAAAGTGCAATATTAAATATATGAACTGTATAAAACATAGTGATACAGGATAACTGAAATAAATTATTGGGCTTTGCCATCCACAGTTATGGAATAGGAAATGACGTGTTGCATAATATAGGCTTACTACGGACTTCGGGCCTAAGCCCAACCCCAAGGTCCTACGTGCCGGTCCGGCCCATGGAAAACGGGTCCCATGACAGTTATCCAACAGAGAAATCAAGAAGATCTGAGACTACTGTCTGGACAATATAAGAAGGACTGGTCAAGAAGCTCGATGATGCTCTATGGGTTTACAGAACCGCATTTCAAAACACCATCGGTTAATGTCTCCATATGTCGCATGGTTTAACGTAAAGGGCTTAGTCATCTTCCCTGTTGAGTTAGAGCATAAGGCGTTTTTGGGCAAATTCAAATTTTCTTAACTTTAATACAAAAGAAGTTGGTCAAAAACGGTTGTACAATTTGAATATGGATGGATAAATGCACCTCCAATGCTTATTGACGCAGTGCCAAAATTATAAAGATCGCACGAACAATGGCAACGATAAGCATATATCCTGAGCGAAATCTAAAGGTAGCCAACAGGTAATTATCCATAATCATCCTAACTCCACCTATTCCTGGTAAGGTTTGCTCTAGATGGTACCGGGGTCCACTTCACAATCAAGGATTTTTCCACATGGGCCATCGAAATAGTGGATGCGTAAAGTCTACCATCGTAAGTTTCCAAACTTAATGCTCAACGTTTGGAAAGTTTAATCAAATGACAACTTTGATCCTGGTCAAAAATACATCATCTCGTTTGACCTAAACTTAGGTTGAGTTGCGTCGACGCTTAAACGACATTAAACAAAAAGCGCTTGTGGGAGACAACCGAGTTATTTTCATTTTCCCATTATTGTTTCCAGTTATATTTTCTTATTTCTATTACAAAAATTTTCCCAATTTTCTCTATCATTGGTTCTTTTGTTAGTCAAAATTTTTCAGGATCAAGTTAAATATCCACAAGATTGACACGCCTGGCGTTGCTTAAGAAGCATGCACAGTGCCGAAGAAATATGACAACTAAGCACTTCCCACCGTGTCCGCCGTTAGCACGCCCCCGTGTGCCATAAAGAAAATTGCGGATTGAGAACAGGGGCAGCACCGCCCTAAGGCCGTACCCAGCCAGCACAGGGCGCCCGTCATCAAGAAAGGAAAAAAAAAAAACGCTGTGAAAGTCAAGGGTTAGCACGCCCTTAGGCGTGGCAAGGCAAGCAAATGCCTGTGCCAGGTAACTTTATTTTTTCCTTTGCCAGGACAGAGGCTCGCGGCGCAAGGCGTGTCTAACAGACAGCCTGGTGCCCACAAACCGCTCAAGGCAATTAGCGCTCACGGTCTGAGCTTTGTTGCCAGAGGCACATTCTGTACCCAGTGCCATGACAGAACAGGATTGCAATTAAATCGCGCCTCTATATTAAAGCGGCAGTACGCCCTAGATCCAACTCCTCATTCCCCTCTCACAAACGCCCTAAGCCGTCCACGCGCTGTCATCTCCAATTTTTCCTCTTCTTTTTCTCCCTTTTTGTCAAATACCACTAACAAGACTACATCAGCTACCAAATTTCACCACCAATTTCTTCTTCACCATCCTCCTCGATACAAGCAGTAGCAGACCCGCTTCTCAGTTGCCGCTAGACGAAGCAATCGCTCGGATACCTTCCACTACTTCTGCATCGGGGTCCACCTTCCTTCGGGACGCCTGCTCCTCCTCCATTTGAGATCGCTTCACCGAAGCCAACAAGAGGGGTTACAATAAACTAATCCCCCCTTCGCCTATTTAAACCAATAGTTCATTGATGAAAATGCTTAGACGCAAGTGGGTTCTTCCGAGATGCCTGTGATAGAACCCACTTTAGGCATATAGGATGGGACAGTTGCTTGAGATGAACGATCTGGTTATACGCCTTTGACTTTAAATTTTTTGAGTTCTTATTTGTCTCTAAATTAGATTTGACCTGGCGATCCCTCGAGCAAAATCCGCTTAGGCACTGCTAGAAATTTTGGTTTATCTTTGAATGAAGTAGCCATATTTTGGGATTCCTCACTGAAACGCTCAAATTCCAAATACCTAAGGATTTTATGAAAACACCGTACATGGCAAGATTTGACCAGGCAAATTAATTATAACCTAGGTTATTCAAAGGCATCCAAATTGAGAAATCTTGCCTGAGCATCACATTCCAAATTTTTATCTAACATTATTTTTGGAAAGAAGTGGAAATAGTGATGGAGTCTTAAGCTGAATGAATTATATGTTATATGGGCGATTGAATAGGCGAGTTTTTGTTTTGATGTTGGTTATTGGTTATGCCAAAGATGGGCGAGGGTAGCTAGAGGCGGATAAAGGGGCTATCATGGATGGGGTGCTTTTGGTGACCCGCATTGCTGCATTATGTACGAGTCGGAACCCGGCTAGCCAATTCTATGATAGTCGTAAGGAGGGGGAAAAAGGTAACAGATTAGATTTTTTAGATGTCATGATACACATGAAACTGATTGAGAAGCGTAGGATGATGCCTATTGGGTGTAGGCTAACTAATGAAGTTCTGAGGAATGAATTTGGTTGATGAACTGGAGGAGGGTAATCCACCTCCTTTTTTGGTTCTTCCTTTTGGTGCAGTAACTTCCAGTGGCAGGTCCCATTCCTTTCAAGGAACGTCAAGAATGTCCAAACGATCGAAGTCCTTGACGGCTTCTTGTTTCGAATGGACATTGTTTGACACACGCCTTAACGGGAGGAACCTATGATTACAGACGATTCCATCCGTCGAGATTTTATGCATGGGAGCCTCGACTCTCGCAATGGATACACTGCAGGGAAGCCAACTCCAGACTGTTTATTCAGCTCTTGCAGCCACATCCACTCCACCACTGGAGCCTTGATGGATTTTGACTCTTAATTTGTTTCCTACATTGAATTTTGTTCCCATACACTGATTATTTTGTCTTGAAGTTTTAATTTTGTCTTTTTGATAATGTTTTTCAATTTGACTATTATTCTTTTCTTAGTTTTTTCTCAGTTTTTTTCTCTTAAATGTTTTTATCTTGGTCTTTTAGCTATGACATTTTCCCAGCACCGCAAGCTCTATTGGTGATTTTTTTCAAATACATTTGGCTAATGCTTACTCCATCTCTTATTCTTTTTCTTGTGTTAATGCAATAAGTTTGGGGAAATCAGTTTTATTGTTGTACCATTGGGGAACAAGGTGTTTGATTAAATTGGGGGAAGGAAAAATTTTAGCTAAAATTTTATTTTTTTGTTAACATTTGGTTGGAATAATTATAAGCAGGCTTGAAAAGTTGTCACATGTTTTTGTAATTTGTGATGAAATTAAGTTGATTTTCTTATCTAGTATGTTTGAGCTTTAAATTTAAATTTTTGACTTAACATGATTTATCCTGGTTTAACTATCTGTTTCTAAGATTAATAAACATGACCTAATTTCTGTGAAAATTGGTATGATATATAGGCGATGTTTTTAATCTAAAGTTATTTTACTTGCATTCCTAGAACATTAGAACTCCTTGAGGCAAAAATTTTAAATGCTTACATTTAAAAAGAAGATGATTTAGGCAATTTTTTGTTGAACTTCCCAATATTTAGCCTAGGCCACCTAAGTTACAAAATATGACTTTTGCAACCAATTTAACCTTATAATCCAATTTTTAATTGATCAAAACCCTATAAGCTACGCCATTAAACCATTTAAATTCCCTAACCCTAAGTACAATAATGTTATGATTGAAAGATCGATTTTTTATTAAAACATAGCAACAAAGAAAAAGAGAAAATTTCTATTGTACCTAGCAAGTGTACCAAATAAGAAAAAATCAAAAGAGAAACACACCATAGAAAAAATGCAATCAAACAAAGAATTTAAGTATGCGTAGAATCTAAAAGTAAGGAAGAAATTATCAAAATATTAATGGAAAGACCTAGCCAAAATATCTCTAGCTAGTGAAGAGAATTTCAAAGACAGTGAAGAAATTTCAAGATCAGAAACTCCTTAACAAATAATTTTTTTGGTATAAATGAAAATATGGATATTATACCATTCCTTTTTTGTACTCCTTTGTCTATCTTTTTTATCCTCTTTCTTTGATTAGTTAAATTTATACCCGAAACCCCATTTACAACGCCAAAATAAACCTTTTCGATCTTTTAAATCATATGCATTTCAATTGTGGAGAAGGGACGACAACTAATTTTGCAAAAAATATGGGAATGCTGATTTATTATTATCAATTATCTTATTTTTAAAAGTTTGAATAATTTTTGTAGATTATTCATGTCCTATTTATGTAAGTTGGAATAATTATTAGTGGGTGAAAATCTCTTTAACTTATATTTAAATCAAGGAATGGTGCTTTATCAAAGATTGAAATTTTATTTAGCTCTAAATAAAGTAGCATGGAAAATAATTGATTTAATTCAATATTTTAATGATTGTGATATCCTTGTGAGTTTATGAAATAATTATCTCAACCATAGTAGCTAGTATTTGGTCAGTTTATTTTTCTCTTAATTTTAGTTTTGTTGCTTGAGGACAAGGCAAAACTGCGTTTAAGTTTTAAGGGAATTTTGATTAGGTGTCCCACTTTTACATGTATTTTAGTATCAATTTTTAATTTAGAATTTTAGCAATTCTATCACGTGTTTTGATTTTATTTTTAAACTTTTCGTTTAGACTATAATCTTTGATCAAAGCTTCCTTGAATTCATACAATCTACTTGATCTGAAGCAGAAAATTGTAGGGTTTTGGCACTTAAAAAAGAACATTTACTAGCAAAATAGTCAGAAGGCTTTAGCACGCCCTGACGTGCACATAGCACACCCGTGCCTAAAACTAAGAGAATCAAGTGGAGACTCAGGGCTTAGCACGGCTACCCGTGCTCATAGAAACACGCCGTCACGCCAAAAAAAGGAACCTCAGGGGCATGTTTTATAGCAGCTGTGAATGAAATTTTATCTGGAAGGTCAAAGCCCTAGCACGCCCCAAGCCGTTCTAGGGTGCAACGCCCGGTGCACAAAGACTTCTCTAAGCGTGTTGCACGAGCACGGCCCGTGCTAAGTCAATTCATAGATCCAGAAAAATTCTTAGCATGCCCAATGCCGTGCTAGAATGGCACGCTCGTGCTACAACGGCAGAGCTGACTTCAACTAAAACAACTCAAGCCATCTTTTTCTCACACGGGCGCCGCCTGAGATCTTTTTTCCCACTAAACGTGCAAATATCAAGATCATAACCTTATTTAGGAAAGAAAAGAGTCCTAACAAGAAGAAAACCAAAGCCTAAAGTAGTCATGATCTCCTAAAAAAGACTTTTTCCTTAAATAAAGAATCTCTATTTCCTAAACCGGAGTTTTAGATTTTTCCTCCAGGAGGTCCTATATAGGAGAGGGGAGGGCTATTCATTGTAGGAGATCATGCTCGCATTTTAGTATTTTTCTACCATAATTCTCTCTCTCTCAAGATTTCAAGGCGGTCAGATTTGTGCTAAGATTCAAGGAAGCCATCCACACAGGCTGTTGTCTAGTTTTTTATTTCTAAACTCTTAATCTTGTCTTTCTTTTCAATTATTCATTATTGATTATGAAGTTTTATTCAGTATTTGGAGTTTTATTTCATTAATCATGTCGAGCTAAAACCCCTTATACTAAGGATTTGATGTAGCTTAATTTGAATTCCAGTTTAAATATTAGATTGTTTTTCCTTTGTTCTTGCTATAAATTTATTATTGAACTCAAGCTTCCAGCAGAGTTTATCCCCTTGATTGTTTGATTTCATTAAATCACTATCTGGAAAAGGGTTTTGAATACAAAAACAGTAATAAACTTTACATAAGAATAATACACTTTTGATGCGGAAAGCCTATATGCGTTTGAACTCAAGAGGGGTTTTCAATAAGTTAATGACCTTAGGTTATGAATCTCCTACGAAAACAAACCAAATAAAATTAATGATTTAATTCATGGTTTGTTGGTGCTATTGGACAGATAGTAATTAAACCGGATTAAGAATAGCTAACAATACATCGGGAGACGCTTGTTAGTGATTTAGGATCTGTTCCCCCTAACTTGAAACAATTAATTGATTATCAAACTTAATACAAATAAAACTGGTAGATTAGATTGAAATCAATATTCCTAGTAGTTTTAGAAACCTTGATCTACTTTTCATCTAAAATTTTGTTGCTTGAATTTCTTTCTGTTTTTATTTTCCGAATTTACTTTTCTTCACAACAAATCTCTCTTAATTTCATTTAAATAATAATAGTTTAACATAATTTTTGGTACTGTGGTATATCTATCCCTGTGGATACGATACTCTTTTCACTTCTAATATAACTTGTTTGCGATTTCGGTAACACTTGCGAAAATCTCTGTCAGCCGGCCCTGGTCTAGAAATGACGCTAGTTGATTTTTCATTAATAGCTACATTGGCATATAGCAGTTTCATCTTGGGGATGCTAGGGAGGAAGGGTTTCTTAAATTATGGAGCTCAAGTATTGCAGAATCCCAAGCTTTGGCTTGGGTTTTCTTCGTACCCGTCTTGCTTTTTTAAATATTCATCCACACAATCGCATTTATTGCCTTCTTGTAACAGAACTGATTTTCTTTTAGTGTCGGTAATAGTGGAGTTACCCGGTTGTGAACATAGTACCGATCCGGTTTTTCGGGATTTTCAATTCTTGTGAAAGGAATGAATTCTTGATTTTGGGCTCTACTATCATGAGTGAAAATTGTGGTATGATGAGATTGATTTTGTTATGTGAAGCTATGACAATATGCTAAGGGGTTTATGCAGCCTTACTAAATGAGGCCGGATGCACTTATTTGTGTGATGGAGGGTGGTTACTTTTCATAGGCCATGATTGTGTGATGGGGGTGGCACTTTCCATAGGCCACGATTGTGTGATGGGGGGTGGTGCTTTCCATAAGGCACTACGATTGTGATGGGGTGGCCGCTAACATAGGCCACGATCAAATCTGCTTATGTTCATTCTGCATTTCAGTAAGAAGAAGCCTTAAACTAAAGAAATGAAAATTTATTTTTGCTATAAAAAAGAATGAAGACAAATTTGCATTTTATAACGTCTTATTGCTATCAAAGTATATGCGAATTTAAAGTGATACTGCGATTTCGGTACCTTCTATATAGTGAAGTACACCTTTAAAGCATTGTGCGACTATGCCTTGGTCATTCTTCGTTATTTTTACTTGTCGATTATTTAATCTACCAATGAGTCTTCCACTCAGCGCGTTGATTTTATATCGCGCAGTGTTAGCGAACGGAAGGGTGTTTTCTGCTAAGACCAGAGGAGTACTATCATAGTAGAATAGTGCGACATTTGGCTACGGATATTTTTGTAAAATGGTGAATTTTTTGGCATGTATAGTAAATATTGCTGTTGCTGGAGGTTTGTATAATAATAAGTTATAATGTAATTAAGCATTATTATTATTTTTAAGGGAAATAACATCTCATTATATTTTTGGTGTAATGATGATTATATATTCTTGAAAAGAAATTGTGTTTTAAAAATATGAATAAGTATATTTGATGGAATTGAGAAGTGCTTGTGGTATGTTGTGTTGAATTGGAGTTTTTTGGGTTTTTGGAGAAAATTGGAAGTGTGGTATATTTTCTTTGTGTTGGCAAGTTTAATGTTTTAGGGGGATATACCCTTGCGAATTTTTTCGTAGGGAATTCCTCAATATTTTTTGTTATTTTTAAAAATTTATATTACTTGCCTCCTTATGACAACATCTAACCACTTTCTAATTTGTGATCGGGTAGCTTTAAATAAGGACATAAGGCAGTGCTTTCCGGCACTCCGATTGTGGCATCTGCCGTCTGGTTGTCTCCGGAAATTGGCGGGTGGGTGTTAACATTCTTATTGGGGCAATCTTTTGTCCAATGCGCCCATCGCAGATGAAGCAAGGTTTCGAGGGTTTGGAAAATCATAACTCTTTGGAACGGTTTTGTCATATTTTTGTCGCGTCAAAAGATTTGGATAACCGCTCCCTCCTTGGTGACTGCTGATCCTGTTTTTCCTCACTATGCTATCCTCTCTCCCCACACTCTTACCCGGATTGGGCTTTCTAATATTCTTTGATTTGGTGGAGTAGTCGGTTAGAGTTTTTAGCCACGGCAAATGGCATCGTCAAGTGTTTTGCACCCGTCATCGCGTCTAACTTATCCTTTGTCCCAATCTCTTAGCACATCCCTTAAAAGTAGAAGAGAGCCTCTTTGTCGGATAGATCATCGATCTCCATATATAAGGGTAGTAAAACCTCCTTTGGATGTAACGGAAGATGCTACCGCTTTGTTGTAGACGACGTAGTCTACCCCATAAAGCGGACCGTAGTCTACCCTTGCTTCACTTTCTGCAATTGTGAGGTTAACGAAGTGCTTTCCCTAATTCTGCCTTGAATTGCTCCCCACGTATTGAATAGCACAAATGCTTTCTTCACACTCCCCGCCTACTTCCTTCGCCACCTTATAGTTTGAAGCAAAGCATCCCAGAGGAACAAGGGGCCATTAACCAATTTTATGGCAGCATCATCCAATATCCCCCATGGCCCGCAAAGTACTGGTCAGGCCAAAGAGAAAAGCTCTCCACCATCGAGGCGCTACGCGAACCAAAATTGTACGTCGCAGGCTTGGGCACCCTTCAAAACCTAGGTAACCGAAGCAAATACTGGTGGTTAACACTGGTTGAGGCAGGAACTACTCAATATGATGGTGCAGCCCGACAGTTCAGAATGGATAGCATTCTACTTCACTGCATAGGGCCACTTTTTAAGATTTCGGTGAAATGTCGGTTAACTCGGTCATACCTAACCATGGAACAAGGGGCTTGAAAGCTCCTCCAATAGGGCTCTGCCAAGCTCAGTGAATCATGCCCTTTGGCGGCCCGAAGTGATTCCTTCAATTTCACCTGAAAGTAATATTGTCAATCTTGTTCGGAGAGTTTCTCCCACAATAGGCTTCTGCAGTGGACTAAAGATTCGCTCAAGAGCTACGATTTCTGCTCCACAGGATTTTATGGGAGGGGTTCGTGCCTTTAACTTCCCCCGCTTAGTCGAGCACACGCACCTACTCACAGGCCTTTAGAAATGGCTTCAGCTTGCCTCGGGTTATTGTTCTATCAGCCAAAACACGTTAGCTTCCTCGTTCCACCGATGATCAGAATCGAAAGGCTTGGTAACCTAGGATGAAACCCCGCTCTGATACCGACTTCACGGAGATAGGTTTTAGCTATACATCCGCGCGCCATCTGTAGTCACGGCTTGAGACTTTAAGATCCGCTCAGTAGCCTTGAAGTCAATGTTTGGGCGAAAATGTAAGCTAAGTAGGAGAAAGAGAACACAAGAGAGCTTGTAAGAGGTTTTGGTTGTACGATCTCTATTACTCAAATGCGTGGATGATTTACAATGCAGGGGAGGTTGATGTATTATAGGAATTTCCAACTTCCTTAATACATGCTTCACAATTCTTTCAGAAATGTGTGTGAAGAGTTTAGTTTGGATCATTCTAAAATTTAGAGATATTTTACAGTCCACCTTACACAATAGTGTAATAATCTAAGAATACTCTTAGAATATTATAGATTATATAGGGCTCTAAATACTTTGTGGGCTAGAGCTTTTCTTTTGTGGAATCCCAGAAGCTTCCTTGAACTTGGTAGCTCTTTTCTTGGCCTTCGCTAAACTTTCCCCTTTTACGAATCTAACGGCTTTTCTCAGTTGTTGTTCCGATTTAATATAATTTATGTCGTAACTATATAAATAAATAATTAATAACAAAAAGTCATTTTAAAAACTCCTATCAGTTGTTTGTTTCCAGAATAATTCTTTTTTTTTTCCAAAAAATTTATTTAATGCTAAGAGTAACAAAGTTAGTAAAAAAATTTTTGACCAGGTAATTTATAATTTATTAAAAGTTAATATTACTTAGCCATAGGTTCAATGAAATTATTGTAAAAAATTATGAAAAAATTTAATTGAAAATGTGAACTCTTTTTATATATTGAGGTTTACTATTAAAAATAAAAATAAACATCTGAAACGAGCATAATACCAAAACAAAAATATAACGGTCCCCCACATAAAACCCCATTTAAGTTTAATATGATTTTTCCTTTCTTATTATTAAATTAAAAAGTTATTTTAACCAAATTCGTGTTACTTTTACAATATATTAATGACCAATAAATTTTACCCTACTAATCAAATGAATTTTTGAGAAACCCAAGGGAAATATAATATTTATATATAAATTATATTTTTTTATATACACAAAATTTAATGTAAAATAGAGTTAATACAATGAAATTATGGAAATACTCCGTAAAACCAAAGTGGGGCCTAATTTTGGATGTTTCTTCTATATGACAGTACCAATGTTGGAAATTGTGGAATATTTTTCAAATTTGATTATTAGGTTGTTCCTCAAAAATAAAATCTCAAAATTCAAATACGTGCCGAAACGCAAGAGCCCACTCTCTTTGCGCGCGCCTAAAGTAAAAGCCACGTGCGCAAAACAAGTTAATGGTCTGATACAGTACTAAATATACGAAGGAGGACAGATTAATCCAACGTTGAGGATGATTTATGAAAGATCAGGATATCGAGTAAATCGACTTTTTGTTAGCATTTGAAATTGGAAATTCTCTCTTTAATTTTTTTTGGTCATCAGAAAATGGTAATTAAAAGTAGTTCCTCATGCACATTCCACCAATGCCAGTTCATTTATTTCTTGGAAGATCCCAATTCAAAATCCTGTTAAATTTCGAAGCTTCTTGCTTTTTACCGATGCCTGCTTTTGGAGTACCCAAAAGAGTCAAGTTTCTCTCTTCGTGCAATGGGTTCCATCTGCTTTCTTCCCACAAGACGCAGAAATATTCAGTATTTCTGTTTGTTTTTTTTTTATTTCGTTTCGAGAATTCTTTCCTCAAATTAAGATTTTTAATTTGTTTTTGCAAAATTTTAAGATGTCATCTTCATATCAATCTTTAATCTCTTATTTGGCGGTAATCTATTCTGTCTACTGTTGTTGAATAATGCGCCGCAGTTTAGATGCATGTACGTTATATGATTTCTATACTTTAGTTAACAAGTGCTGTTTCAATTATGAGTAGGTCCGTCTTTCGTAAATGAATTATAGGAGTTTGTTTTTCTTTTCTTGAGTTTTATGTTGATAGACGATATGAGTTAGGTTTTTTTTGGAAAGTCTGAAATGGACGTTTTGGTTTTGGCTGGAAAATTTTAGAGCACAATACTTTTTTCGCTGTGAGAGGTTGCTTTCTTTTGATTATATAGTTCTTAAGGAGGTGTATCTGACAATAGTTTTAGAGCACAGTAACCGCCTTGATTTAAAGAAAGAACGAGGTGTCTATAAGTAAGCGTCCTGCCATAGTTTTTGTCAGACATTCTGGAAAGCAGGGAGCCTGTACTACTACTGGCAATTTATAAATTCATGCTGTCATGGGACCAGATAAACTTTTTGGGATTTTTTTATTATCTTTGCATGAATCTTCGTAACTATTTGAACTCGTAAAGTTGTTTTTGATTCCTTGTTGCGTTTGTGTTGATTTTACTAATTACGGTATATCTTTAATTCCTGAACAAACACTTGTAGCCCAAAGAAAATTAATCTTACATGGGTTTCAATTACTGATCCTCCTCCATAGGTTAAAGCTATGCCACTGGGAATCCTCATTTATTGCTCATGGATCTTCCTTAAAATTCTTCTTATTGATCTGCTCTTTTGGTTGTTGTACAAAAGTTAGTGGATGTTACAGATGCTAAGTGATGTAGAGTTGTTGATCCTCCTTTCTTGTGTGAGTGTGTGTTGTTATGCTTGGCTCAATTTATCAATTAACTACATGCCTAACAATTTTTGGGATTCCCCAGTAGTTCATTTTCTTTGGTAGGCGAAATGAAAAGAATTGGTTGCCTGGAGGTCCTTGAAAAGTTGTTTTTAGTCGATGTACTCAACAGCAGAATATAGAATGAGTTTTTATTCATGTTCAAAACTGTTTTTCAGTTATCCTGAATGTCAACTACAGATATTTGATTCATACTAATCTGTGATTTTGTGATTCAATTTTCCTTGAATTATACTAAAGCGAATTGTTTTTAGAATTAAGTAAAGGAAGCCTTTACTCATCTTTTTAAACTGCAAGACATTGTTGTTTGTGGTTCTGGTCATAGAGGCAGGAAGCGTTGATTATAACTTCTGTAGCAAGATGATGAATGGAAAAAAGAGGCTTTACAGCAGAACAATATTACATAACACGTCAGATAAGTGGACTGAAACGGGGCCTTTCACTGGGTAATGATTCTAGGATCAACTTTCTTTTTTTCTTTTACTGAATTAATAATTAAGGAGTTTCTGGCGTCTTTTTCTTGATAATTTCCCTGCTGCCTGCTTGAACATGATAATGTCATCAATGAGAAGCCAAACACATTTCCTTTCCAAAAGTCAACAAAACCTTTAGAAATCTATATCTATCCAATATCCTATTTGATCAAATAGATGAAAGATTGGTACTGTTCCCTTAACCAAGCCCAACTGCAACGTGTTAAGAATATGAAGCGTAGGAATCGAGTCACAAAAGCGTTTTATGAAAATCTATCTGATTCTTCTTGCAACCTATTTTTGCTAATTAATCAAGCTCTTCAAAAGGAACTTGAAAACCTTGGGATCTTGTTACAGCGAAGTGCTCCCATCCTCCGTGTTTTTGGGGAATATCTAATTATCTATTTATTATAAGCAATAATACCTCTTTTAAGAGGTTACAATGAAACAAACTAGGAAATTTAAAAAGAGGAGTTTTTCAGTCTATTTAAGATTAAGACTAAACTAGAATCTAGGATCTTAATACTATTTAGGAACCTATGTTTATTGAATCCTATTTAAACTCATAATCTAACTAATTCTAGGGATCCTAATACATCTAGGAATCCACGACCATTAACTAGTTAATATTTTCAGTATACCTATGCGTCCATAACACTATGATGTTGCTGCGTCTTTCTCAACCACGATGTGGGGGAGCAGGGTCACGTATCATTTTTGCTAGAGTCCCGGAGCTCTCCTTGAGAGCTTACGGTTTAATGTTCTATTTCAACTCTGCTGGGGTTAAGTAAATGTGTCAATTTTCACAGATTATTGTGCTACGTTGGAGTAATTGAGTTGGATGAACAAAATTAAGGTTGTAATCATGCTTTCCAGGTAAGCCTTGGTAGATGTTAATAATTTTTAACATAGACTTAGCTTGTCCTTAAATGACTGCAGAGCATTTCACTATCAGAATTTTCCACTTTCAAAGGTCTGGGCCTATTTCTCTGGTGCTCATAAGCTAGCTCAATAGACCATTAATGATCCTGCACTGAACATTTCTTCCAATAAGTGGCATTATTGATTCACTAATTTTTTTTTTTTTTTCCTTAATTTTTCAGGGAATACTGGAACACCAAAACCCCTGGAACTTACCACTGCATATGTTGTGATACACTCTGTTTGATGTTACGTATTACTCTTTCTTTTTCCTTTTGACATTTTAGCTGAATTGGGTTTTTCGTACGAAGTTAACATGCCAATATATTTTGTCCTTCAGGTCATTCAACTAAATTCTGATAGTGGAACTGGTTGGCCATCATACTATCAGCCTGTAGGAAGCAATGTAAAATCAAAAACTAGACTTGTCACATTATTTTCATGCCCGTCAAGAAGTTCGTTTGGCTTGTTTTGTGATGTCATTTAGGTCACGTCCTTGATGATGGTCCCACCTCCAACTGGAAAAAACGCTATTGTATCCAATAGTTACCATTTTGGTTCTGCTTTTGTACTTTTTTTCTAAATTTCCGAACTTGTTGTTTTCTACTGAATTTCATTTGAAAATTTTTGACTCTTGTTTGCAGCGCTGGATCCCCTTGAAGCTGAACCCCTAAGTGAGAAGGCACAGTGCAATCAACAGTTTGTGTACGTGTAAAGTTAATTATCAACATGCAAAATCACAAAGCCAGTTGTTGTCTGAAAAATCTGGATGTTATGGTTCGCTGTTGTTGTTATTTGAGCTGCTCGTAAGCACCCCCAATCGGACGTCAGTTCCTGTACATACGTTTTCTAACTCTTTAACCATAAAATTGAAGTGGGTTTTATGGTGTGTTACTAGTGAAATATAAAAATTTACTTTTAAACTTGTTTCATCTTACCCTTGCGGTATTTATTACTTTTTTTGATGGCTTATTTTGGCTCTAAAATTAACAAACTAATAATTCCAAATATGGGGTAACATTGTACTATCTTTCATATTAATATTCGTTTTTTTTGGGATTATTGATTTTCTGTAATTAAAAAATTGATGATATGTGGTTAGAATAAATTTTGAAATACATAATTTTTTGTATATTTTTAACCATCTGTTTAATGAAGGTGTTTCATTGATTTTAGGTTTTTGTAAAGTTTTAAATAGATTAATTTTATAAATTTAAAATATTTAATAACAATCAAATAAAAATTTAAAAGTGGCACGAAATAAAGTATTTAAAGGGTCAATATAATTGGAACCATATGTTATGGTCCTAATTTTTCCACTGGTGGTGCGGAATGATGAAACTCTCTGAAAAGCAAATTTTACATATGAAGAATGCCCAAAACACAACTTTACAATTGTTTAAATGGACGATGGATTTTTTGGAGTTTTTTTGAAAGTTAAGTTAAAGTAAAGTTAAATTGTTAGATTGTTTGGCCGAAGACAAGGTCTAGGCAACCGACCATTTTAGTTTGTTTGGATGAGAGTTTTGGGAGGTTTGGTTGAAAGAAGTAAAAACAGGGGTGAGCAAACGGTCGGTCTAGTGAGCGACGAATTGAATAGAGATAAAAAAAAAAAATACAAACCTTGAAAAATCCTTTTTGCCTAACAGATCAATCCAAATTGAAGTTGGCTTTTGGAATCGAATCAAATCAATTTGGTTTGATTAGTTTTGCATCGATTTTGCCATTTGTCAATTTCATTTTAAATTCGACTGATAAATTTTCTGTAAAATCCAATCGAATCGAATTGAATCCAAGTTAAGTTTCTGTGTAAATCAAATAAATCGAAAACCGAATCTCCTTTAATATTAACTGATTGAAATGAAGCTGAAATGATCAATTTTGATTTTTGATTCGAGGTTCGGTCTGTAAGTTGCACACCCCTAAAGTAAGTAAAGGTTAAATTATTAAATTGTTTTGAAGGAGGTATTTTTTATAATCATTTAAGGTAAAAATTTTCAACCATCTTCACATTTCTAACCCTCATGAATTGAAGGGCCGGAAAGGAATTAAGAAATTTTACTTTTGTTTTCTCATGTCCTGTATTTATTTTTTTTTTAAATTCTAAACTGCTCTTTTTTAATATTTTGGCTATTTTGTTAAATGTCCATATGAAAAAGCTTAAATCTAAAATTTTACGTTTTTTAAACCACCGATATCCGGACTCTAATCACAAGGTCCCGCTTTAAGGAAATCAAACTCGATGAGTTTTTCTAATATATATCCGAATCTCCTTTACCACCTGAGTGCACAATATCAGTTAGGTATTTAAAAAATAATATTTTAATAATTATAAATTAATACTTTTATTTATACAATAGTTATAAATCATTTTTGTATAATCTAAAAATAAACTCCTTTTTTTAGGACGGTTTTTTTTTTTCAAATCTCAATGTATAACTTTTTACTTTTAATATTTTCAAATCAAAATGTGATTTTCCAAGAAAAAAAAAAAAAAATCAAATTGGGTGTAGTTTTTACCATAATATCTTATTTACTCTTGTCATCCTTTAATTCTATGTAGAAGAATGGGAGTGGCCTCTAACGTAAGAAAAGAAGTGGTGGGGGTGGGGATGATAGAAGAGTGGGGCAAGTGTTCTAGTGGTTATTTAACAAGAGCTGGGGGTGCGTTTTAATATGTAAGAATACCTGGGTGGGGCCTAAGGTGGCCTTGGCCTTATTCTATGTAGAAGAGAAGTTTTAGTGGGGGTTATTTGAACACTTTTTGTGTGTCAATTTTTCAAGCCTTTTCAAATTGGGAGTTTGGGGAGAATTAAAATACATCCCAGTTTCATATTTATATTTTAAAATCTGAACATTATATGTTGTTTTGGAGATTCAACAATACCTTTTATCAGATCCATTATATACACTTACCCACTAGAACTATGTTCTTGATAATACTTTTTTCTTTCTTAATTAATGTTATATATCCTTCCACAATTTAAATGCAGAAGAAATAAATCAATGTTAATAAATTAATGATTTATTAAAAGAATGATCCTAGATTATTTAATTAGTTTTATCCGACAAATTTAACAATGAGGGATTTTTTTTAAAATTTCATATTCCAAAACCTTCTTTATCAATACCTTCAAATCAAAATAATACAGATTACTACACTCTCATTCATTTATTTTTTATTTCCCTTTTATTTTATTTTACCAACATCCTACTTTTAACTAAATCTTTAGCTAAAATCCTTAATGTTATGTTTTCATTAAAAGGAAAATATGAAAGGAAAAAAAATAAGTGAGCACATATTTGAAGGAACATTTATTTTTTCTTATTTAGGCAATAAACCAGAGAATAATATATATTAACGGAAAGAAAAAATATAAAAAATTTTCTCTTGATGCATCAAAATTTAATGTCTTGAGTTTTGAGTTCTTTCTCGCACAAGTGTTTTCCAACCAATTTGATAAATTCAAGAAGAGGACTACCTTTTGTTGTGTAGTCCGTAATTATCATTTTCGACCAAGATCGAATCTCCCCTATGAATAAGAAAAAATATTAAGAGAGAAAAATGAACAAAAAAAAAAAGAAAATTTTAAAAATTTTTTTTACTAGTTTTTCCTAACCTTGTTTTCTTTCCTTCAAAATCCAAACAAAATGTAAAGGTGGGGACAGTTTTTGGTTGCATGTCATTCATTTTTCATAGCTAAGGAAACATTTCTGCGGAGGTCTACAAACAATTAGATAATCCACTGCATGATGTAAAAAAATACTACATGATAGGGAAAACTTCAAAAATTTTTTTTATTGACCTTTTTTAAATATCTTGCCTATTTTGAAACCTCAACATCGCACGTAATTACCACGGAGCCCTTTTGATAGAATGTGGTACTAAATTTCGCCATTCTCCTAACCTATGATTGCTACGACGATTTCCTACTCATTTATTCTCATTCAATTTATGGCGTTCTAAGGGACCATTGCTTTGCTACATTTTCTAATAGCATTTTAGAATATGTGGGGTTGATGTCGGCTAATCAATATAGTTGTTTACTTGGTGTCCTTATCATAAGATAATTAACCACTGCTTTGCTTGTTGGATGAGTCAGTCAGCAGCTCCAATCTCATAACTCATGTTTTTCAAATTCCACATGATGTCACTAATATCAGCGACAGAGCCTAATGTTTTTTCATTTTAATGAGGATTAAAAATATGTTCGTCATTTTTTCATACGATTGATGAATAAAAAATTAAATTGCTAATTAAAAAGCACGTAAGAATAATATAATTACAGCCAAATAAATATATTATCACATATGTCAATTTTTCAAATAACAATATAAATCGACAACAAAAAAATAAAAAATATTTTAATATACGGTAATGAATTTTTAATAAGGAAAGAAACTAATAATTTTCCTTAAATTTAAACATATTTAAAAAATTAGAAAATGAAATAATAATTATGTTTAAAACTTTAATTGTTTTATAATATTTAAAAATTCGATAACCTTAATTTCATTTTTTTATTTTTTTTTTAAATTAAAATAAATCACGAATTAATTAATATTGGAATCTATCCATTTGGAATAATCAAAATATTCATGTGCTTATCATTAATGACATAGAATTATAAAATTTTTTTTAGGTTGATTAAGGTTAATTGTAAATATAAATTTATAATGCTATTGTTTATTTAATATTTAATCTGAAATTTTTATGTATTGGCGTAAAATTGAAATCAAGCTTAAAGCTAAAATTTCAAATAATTTAAAATTAATAAACTGAATTAAAGGATTAATGACAATATATAACTATTCAATTAAGCAATAAACAGTAATTTTTATGAAAATTTGAGATATGTTTGCTTGTTTATATATTACATAAAATCTATAAAAACTAACTAAAATAACTAGCTTAAAACAAAAAACTGCTGCAAATTCAAAGAGTTAACTCAAGTCGTTGGACTTATAGTGATAGAACACATGCCACGATTAACAAGTAGTCCTAACTATTGACTATATAAAACTTTTTTCATAAATAGCAATGGTGAGCAGTGGCCCCCATTCCCTCCCTGGTTCCGCATGCTTTGCCAGCTCAAGTTAATGGCAAATGACAGTAAAAACCGTGAAATGCTACTGCATCCTTTTATTATCAAAAGACAAATATATTTATCATTTTCTACGATAAATAAAAAATAAGTTTAATTAAAAATATATCAAAAATATGTAATTATATAACATAATAATAATATGTCAAAACTTTTTTTGATGAAAAATAGTGTAAAATAACAACAAAAAAAATAATAGAGATTTTTTACTATTCATGAACGATTTTCAATAGAAAAAGAAGATAATTTTCTTAAATTTTTAACATATTGAGAAGTTTCAATGAAAAATGAACCTTATTAGTATTTTAAACACATTTTTAAATATGTTTATTAATTTTACAACAATTCAATTTCATATTAATTTTCAAAAAC